ATTTATATGTACAGTATGTACTGTGTATGTACAGTATCACCTGCAGTAGTTCAGTCTTTGTGCTGTGGTTCTTGGTTTGAGCCTAAAGGGTTAACTAGCAGACACTGGTGGTTAAAGCTGTAAGCTGATGGTCTCCAGGCTTCAGACGGTGGGCTTGGGGTGACGGTGTTGTGCCCCTGGTGTCCCTGCAGATCGTGGAGGAGCACCAGAGTGTGGAGCAGTCCCGTCGGGCCCAGGCAGAGCCCATCAGTCTGGACAGCTGCCTGAAGGCCTTCACCAGCGAGGAGGAGCTGGGTGAGGACGAGCTCTACTACTGCTCCAAGTGCAAGACCCACCGGCTGGCCACCAAGAAGCTGGACCTGTGGAGGCTGCCCCCCATCCTGGTCAGTGTCTTCCGCCCTGCAGCTCGGTGTCTGTCTCTTCACAACATAAACCACGTTTTCCTCYTCAGATTGTTCACCTGAAGCGGTTCCAGTTTGTCAACGGTCGCTGGATCAAGTCCCAGAAGATTGTCAAGTTCCCACGGGAGAACTTTGACCCCAGCGCCTTCCTGGCCCCCAGAGACTGGGAGCAGCACTCCCTGCACTCCCGGAGTGAGAGTGAAGACCTGCTGAGGGTCGGAGAGGACAACCTGTCCTCCATCTCTGCTCCGGCTGGTTTCTGCAACCTGCCAAAAGGTGTCTGTTAGCAAAATATCTTGTCATGTCGTGTCAAATTTGTTTATATAGCACATTAAAAGCAAGTATAAAACTGCACCAAAGTGCTGCACAAAGAGAACAACAATAATAAAAACAGAGTATCAAACACTACTTCATTAAAAGCCAAAGAATACAAATGAGTTTTAAGAAGTGATTTAAAATGATCCAGGCTGTGGGCAGATCTAATCTGGACAGGTAAGTTGTTCCATAAAATAGGAGCGGCAGCAGAAAAAGCCTGATCTCCTTTCCTCTTAAGTCAAGTCCGAGGAACTGTCAGTAATAACTGGTTATTTGATCGCTGGGTTCTGGGCACGAAAAGACCCTGAAAATAAGGGAGGGCTAGCCCATTTAAAGCTTTGCAAGTTAATAAAAGAATCTTAAAGTCTGTTCGATAAGGAACAGGCAGCCAATGTAAAGATGCCAGGATAGGCCTTATATGGTCATGCTTCCTGGTTCCTATAAGGAGCCGTGCTGCTGCGTTCTGGATCATCTGAAGTCGTTGCATCTGTGATTTATCCATGCCTTTATATAATGAATTACAGTAATCCAAACGAGATGTAACAAAGGCATGGACACGTCCTTCAAAGTCCTTAAAACRGAAATAAGATTTAACTTGCTAAAATCTGCAAGTGATAAAAACCAGATTTAACAGCAGAACTAACTTTTTTAACTAATTTTAAAGAGGTATCAAAAGTGAAACCAAGATTTCTAGCAGAGGTCTGACAGAACCGAGCTAAAGCACCAAGAATCTGATCTAAATTTGTAGTCTGAAATTTTTGACCAGATAATATAACTTGAGTTTTACTTAGATTGAGGTGAAGAAAGTTCTGTTCCATCCAAGATTTAACTTCAGCCAAACAGTCTGTCACTCGTACCATTTTGTAGCTTATGGGGCAAATAAATCTGGACGTCATCCGCAAAGCAGTGAAAGGAAATATTAAATTTATGAAAAATCTGACCAAGAGGCAATAAATATAAGATGAATAAAATAGGACCTAAGATTGAGCCTTGGGGAACGCCGTGCTTTAAAGGTTTAGCCCCAGAACAGCGAACACAGATGGACTTCCACTGTGTCTCCACCTGCAGCTCTTAGTTCTGTAGTGATACTGGCTTTAACCGTGCTCCATCCCACAGCCTCGCCCGCCTCCAGCCGCAGATCAGCTCCCTCTCTCAGCCGGAGCAGCAGCCCCTCCAGCAGCCCRAGGACGGGGGGCCGCAGGCCCGGACGCTTACGTCTGCCACAGCTCGGGAGCAAACACCGCCTGTCCAACAGCAAGGAGAGCCTGGATGGAGCTGCTAATCCTGAGTCCGAGTCCAGAGAAGGTGGACCACCTGCAGACGCAGAGGCGGGGGGCTCGTCCGGAGGTCTCTCCTGGTCGGAGCAGATGGCGTCGGAGTCGTCGTGCGTCACCGAGGCGTCCAGCAGCCACTGTGACGTGGTCCTGATGAACGGGGACAGCAACGGGACGAGCTCCGACTGCAGCATGGAGAGCAGCGTGGACCTGGTCAGCTCTCTGCCTCAGCGCAGGGACAACATGGCTCTGGATGCCATCTACAACCTCTATGCAATCTCTGTGAGTACCACAGTACACGTTGTGTTACTCTACTTCAGCTGCAGGTTGGACCCTACAGTTAGGAGATGCAGAATGTTTTTACTGTGACACGCTAACAATCTGTAAACAACACCAGAGATTCACACTAGCCTTGTTTCCATTGACCATGAAAATGCACAAATCAGAATTTTGAAAATAAATTCACTCAATGGAAACACGTCAAGTTCGAAAAAAAAAATGACGTTTTTCGACAGAATGTTTTTGCGCTAGGATGAGGTGGTTTTTCAGCCGTATCGAAAATGGTGTTTTTCACAAAACTGCAATAG